GTATCTTTGCTCCGGAAACTCACCACCTCTTCAGGCTCATTTCATTCCAAACTGGTGATCCGTCAGTCATTTCTAATTCCTTCAATGAACACACACTGCATTATGCTAGGCACTAGGGACCAGATGTCCTAAAAATCTGACTCCTTCACCATTGGGGGGGTTCTGTCTACCCTTAAGGATTATAGAGAACACTGCTAACTGTGCTGCATAAATTAGTCCTGAATAAAGTTAGAATATCACGTGGTAGTTGCCCCCACAGTCCCCTCATTACCCTCATCCCCTACAGTGTCCCCTCCCCACAGAGCGTCCTCTCCAACACCCCACCACCACATCCTCAGATCTTTTTATCCAGGAAATAATTTCAAATTCTTGCCCCCAGAGGTTTTAGAAAGTTCCACTCACAGTGACTCCTTTGGAGAAACCAATTTTCCAGATTCCTCAAATCACTCAGAGCTAAGTTCTGAATTCAAGCTGACTGGCTCCTGAATCTACACTCTTAACCAGTCCATTCCAGTGCTTCTCAGTGAATGGGAGTTTTCTTTTCCCCCTCTACCTACAATGCTCTTTCCTCTACCCTCACTTTTTCACATGAACTCCTACTCATCCTACAAGACCCATCCGCAGGAGCACTCCTTTTTTCTAACCACCACGAGCAGAGGAGATTCTGTGGCAAACACGGAGGACACTGTACCTATCTTCGGCACATTTCCTAATACGGAGATAAAAAACGGGACCCCCCCTCCCCCGTCCCTAACCCACCGCAAAGGTACAGACTCCTAGGGAAAGAACAGCTTCCTATAACAGCCCAATAGCAACTACCTAGAGTTACTAAAACTCTCTATATGAATGCCAAAATTGTTGACTTGTGTTAAAATACGCATATAAAGAAACATACGAACATAAAAGTCTAGATGGGGCTGAGTCCCACCCGGAGAGAGGTCTCTCCTGGCCTTCATCATTGAAGAAGAGGCTGTGTGACCAGACAAGGGAGCCCCTGGTAAGCTGCAGGCTACATGAGTGTTAACCAACATGGAGCTAAGATGCCTTGTAGGAAGCTCCTAAGCAAGGAATGTTAAAATGGCATCTACTCAGAAAAGATAGTTCAGAAAGCAGCTGACTCACGAGGAACCCAAAGTACCAAAGGTAGCTAAGTCCCCCAGAGATAGAATCTGGCTATTCTCAAAGCAAAGATAGACCCAGAAACGGCCAGTGAGTTCCAAGAACAGGTCCTATGTTATGACGGCCCCAGAAATCTAAACTTGAAAATCAGATTGTTTATATATTTCTTATATTCCTTCCTTGGTATCCAGGAAAGTTCCAGACTGTTCTAACTGTGCTAACATGAACGGAGGGTGAGGGTTTTTATCAAAAAACCTGCAGATTTGGCCTGAAGATTAGAATACTATCAGCCCACTACTGACAGCAGCAGTAGCATGAACACGGTAATGAATGCAAGTGAAAGAATCCTCCAAAAGAAAGTAAAATGCAGGGACAATAAGGGCTGTGGAGTCCAGCCACTCTTTCCCATCTGAAAATTCTCCTTTCAGTACTAAATCTTAGAGTCTGTGGTTTTGTTTTATTATCTTCTAAAACTTACCCCCCACTGAATTGTATCTGCAAACGATCTTGCCATTTCACCCAACGGAGTCTGCACGTGTGTTTGGAACACAACAGAAACTTAAATGTTTGTTGATGGAATGAACGAAGCAACACGTGGACTTCCAGAGTTTTAAGGTATCCTAAAGACCATCCATCCAGTGCAATCCTTTTCCATTCGTCCACACAGGGCTTTCATAGGTTGTCATAAAAGTCATTCGATAAATATCAACTAAGTGCCAACAAGACTTAAGACGCTATGGTCTCAGGAACAACAATCAAAATGTTATCAGTCACTGACACACAGCAAACGTCTGGGGGCCTTCCATGGATCAGGCAATTTGCTAGGCCGTAAAGATACTACAACGAGTAAGACACACATAGCACCTTAGGGAAACAATGGAGAAGATGAAGGGACCATAAGTATCTACGATACTGTTTAAAATAGAAAATGTTAAGTGCTTTCAAAGGTTAGATAAGGGCTATCTGGAGTCATAGGTCAAAAAGGGAAACCAGGTTTCAAAAAATTTCCAGGACACTGCCATTCAGGACACGACATTATTTGTGGTTTAACCTTACAGTTCAGGAATGAAAACTATTAGTTTCTAGCTAAAGCAGAATAGCTAAAGGAAATGGCTTTGTAGGTTTTGATGAAAATCAATATTCTATCTTCATAACTTCGGCATTATGTCAAATGGCACTGACAGTGGATTCTGGAAAGAATACAGATCAATTCTCTTCTAATGAAAACAATAATCAAAACTGAGCTCTAAATAACAAAGTTATTGTCACCCATGAGTACAGAAACACAGGTCTGTCAATCTGAATATTAATAAAACACACGTAAAGAATAATTCTGGACTGGGGCGCCTGGGTGGCTCGGTCGGTTAAGCGTCCGACTTCGACTCAGGTCATGATCTCACGGTCTGTGAGTTCGAGCCCCGCGTCAGGCTCTGTGCTGACAGCTCAGAGCCTGGAGCCTGTTTCAGATTCTGTGTCTCCCTCTCTCTCTGCCCCTCCCCTGTTCATGCTCTGTCTCTCTCTGTCTCAAAAATAAATAAATGTTAAAAAAAAAAAAATTAAAAAACAATAAAAGAAAGAATAATTCTGGACTTACGGGTGGGCCTTATTTATTTAGCAGTAACCCTATAATAATAATTCCTATGATTTACCCTATAAACTAAAACATAAAAATTAAACTACTATATAGCTACACATCACATTTCTTTTGACCTATCCTGAAATGAAATTAATCTTTCAGTTTCTCTCATATATGCTACTTTAGCTCCTCTAAATACCTTGAAATGCATCCCACTAACCCTGTTCCCTTCAAGATAACACACTAACATGGGAAGCAGAAGCCTGAGGACTAGGCCTGCTCACCAGGTTGGGCAGGTAAATTCTCTGGCCTAAATCTTCCCATCCATAAAATGAAGCTGTTAGAGCAAATAACCTCCAAGATCCCTTTGAACTCTTAAAAACAGTAACAAAATCAAAAACTGAAAACTTACCTCCACTGCCAAACTATCAATCAAAGCAAAAAGTTTAAAAACTAATATCAAAGGAATAGCGGCGCCTGGGAGGCTCAGTCGGTTGAGAGTCTGACTTCGGCTCAGGTCATGATCTCACGGTCTGTGAGTTCGAGCCCCGCGTCGGGCTCTGTGCTGACAGCTCAGAGCCTGGAGCCTGCTTCGGATTCTGTGTCTCCCTCTCTCTCTTCCCCTCCCCTGCTCATGCTCTGTCTCTCTCTGTCTCAAAAATAAATAAAAACGTTAAAAAAAAATTAAAAAAAAAACTAATATCAAAGGAACTTAGGTTTAACCAACTTTTTTCCTTCTTTTACTTGATTCAACAAACTTATTCATGAATTTCCTACAGCAATTACGTTGAGCAGTTCTTCATCCATAGCCATCATAAACTGGAAAGTGATGTCAAATATATTCCTTTAAAAACAATTCTGCAACAAAAAATTTCTAGGTCCAGAAGCAATCTCCTTAATAGAATTTTGCCTCTATCCAAAAATTAAACCCTCATAAACTTCTTTGTGAATGTCAAAAGGTTTTTAATCCACGTACTCCACTTCAGAATGTATTTATTCTGTTCAATGCAGACTGCTCGCCTTGGTGTATGTTTACAATTTTTCCCATTAGATCCACATAGGAAATGAATGGAACACCTTTTGTATGGAGTATGATGTAGACAAGTACGTGTCATTAATATACTCATCCTAGTTATATTGAGGAACCTATCATATGAATAGATCTATCAGGCAAATATTTTTGAGACCATACTGTATGCAAAGTGCTGAAATGACTATAAAGACAGTAACCAATACTGTTGCTTTACCCCTGCCTCCAACTGTAATTGTACTGGTCACCAAGAAAATAATTCTCTACCTCAACATAAGAAAATCTAAAAAAAAAAAAAAAAATTAACCTAACTACCGTTTTAAGGAAAAGCCCCTTGCCATATGCCTCTATAGTGTTACATTTTTTAGAATGCTAGTTGGTATTATAGAAGCAATACTTCCAGATAAATAGCATAATTACTATAGTCGGGCAGCATTCCTGTGGAAATAAGCTCCATCAGCCTGATTTCGGCATATTAAATGAATTAAGTTAAAGCGAAAATGCTATTGTCTGAAAAACAAGAGAAAATATTAAAGGCAGAACAACTGGCTCCACTTCTGCAAATTAAGCAAAATTAGGCAAAAAGAAAGGAAGCAGGCAAAGGGAAGGAACTCAAGAGCTATTTGCAGCAGGGGTCCCTTGCAAGTTAGTTCTAGGCACTTCCCCTTGAGCTCGAAGAAATAAGGAGACCAAAGAAAAAAAGGCACCTCTCCTTTCGTTCAGAAGCCCAAAGTTATACTCTTTTCACAACTTGCAATATTCATTGAGTTCAGTGTAAGATGTATGGGAGATCTGGATTCAGTGGGACTGTTCGGGAGAAGGGAGTGGCATTTACTTTTTCAGTCTGGAGCCCTTAAGAACTGTATCAGAGTACTCAAAAACCCTTAGTTATCTAGCAAAGGCTCTCGGAGCATCCTCCCTACGCACACTCCTGCAGGGCTGGGCGGCTCCTCCCTCTCCCCCTTCTGTCCTTAGGGCTGGACCAAGGTCCAGTGGCCGGCGCACCGTTAGTCCAAGGGCCACCCTGGCCCGGCCTGCGCCACCAGCCCCGGGCAAGGCCAGAGCGCAAGCCGCCGTCTGGTCTCCGCTTCCCAGAGCCACGCAGCGGCGGCGGCGCGCAGCTGGACACCAGCATCACCAGGATGCCCATTATAATAAAAACTTGGGGGAGTATGTCTACACTTGCACCGATGTGAAGGCACAGCCCGGGACGCGGGCTCCGGGACCGCCGGCCCGTCCCGCCCCTCCTAGCGGCCGAGGGGCGGCGGTCCGTACCTGTCCTCCGAGACGCTGATGACGCCCTCCTCCTTGGGCACGATCACGGCCATATTCACCACCTCCTGGGACCCCTCGACCCGCTGCAGCAGGATGGGCTTGCGGGTCAGCGGCTTGGGCTGGATCTCCGCCGCCATCGGAGGAGGGGGCGCGCCGGGCGCCGCCGCCGCCAACCGCACCGCGGAGCTGGGCTGAGGAGACCGCTCAGGCACGGGCACAAGCTGAGACAGGGACTCTGGTTGGCCGGAGCGGGACGCCGGGGACCCGCGATCATAGCCTGGCCGCGCTCCGGGAACGACTCCGCGCTCCCGGCTTCGGGCACCGAAACCACCACGACCCGGGTTGCAAGCCGGCGCCACCACCGGAGGAGGGGGCGGAGAGCTGGGGGGCGGAGCCGGTAGGGGGCGGGGCCTGCCGCAGGGGGTGGCCGCTGGTGGGCGCGAGGGCGGCGGCACTTCCGGAAGAGTGGTGGAGGAGGTGAGGAAACCTAAAAAAGGAGGCGGGACGTTGGCGGTCCAATACGCGTGCGCCAGCCCACCAGCCCATTTCCGCCCCGCCCCTACTGAATTCCCGAAGCCTCGCAGCACCGCCCCTGGAACGCATGCGCCTTCCATTATCTGCGGTCTCCTAGACTCGCCACCTTCCACCTCCAATCTGTAGTCCCCTCCCTTTCTAATCTCCCGTGAACGCGCGTGTAAACCCCCCGGGAACGCGCTTGCCAGAGGCCCCGCCCCCTCCAAAATGTATAAAAAGGGGGCGGAGTGGCGCGGGGGAAAGTGGGCCTGGACGAGGCCGGAAAGAGAAGAAGCTTGCAGGAAGGAAAGAAGCTGAACTAGTTGGGACGTGACTGGGCGTGCGTAAGGGTTACCTGTTCTGAGCTTCCATAACAATGAGCCTGCCGCGACGGGAGGCCATTTACTGCTCCCAGCATGCACCAGGCCCAGGCTGCCGAGTGGCACCCCAAGGGCTCCTGGGAGTTGTAGTTTTTCGGAGCCTCGTCTCCCTTCTGGAATAACCTATTGCCCACTTCTCAGCGCTCCTGAACTGGGGAGCCCGGCACCGACCCAGGCAATTAACTGAGTCGCGGCCCGGACTGATCTCTAAGGAGGAAATTGAAGAGCATCCCGGGGCTGAGCAGGTGGTTAAGATTGTTTCCTATAATAGTAGAGCCCGAGGGTGGGGAAAGAAGAGAATCTCTCGTATACGCATTTTTGAGGGAGTTTAGAGATCATCTGCAGTATCATCTAACTGGCTTTTCTTAAATGACTAAGTTACTAGCCCAAGGTTACTTTAGCTCCCAGTTAGGGCTATGCCCCCACCACACCCCCGGACTTGAACCCAGTCTCCCTCCCCTACTCCTGGCCCTGTCTTCTTTCCATTCGCCAGTAATTCAGCCTTTCTGGCTTGCTCCAGAGACAATGGAGAGAGTTACCGTGATTATTGAATGAATGTTAGGTGCCTGGCGCAGGGCCTGGCATGTGGGGTCGTTCATTATTTGATGACCCTACTAAGCCCTCCCAGAGTTAACAAACTAGCTGAAGAGTGGTCATGTGGTGTGACTGGGCTAGCAAGGGCTCTGGAGGTTAGAAAAATAATATGGCAGAACCGGGCAAAGAAATGACAGGCCTCGTAGAACTGCATTTCTTATGCAGGTTTTTGGCAGCCAAGGACCTGTCTCAAAGCACACAGTGCAACTCTTTACCACCTCCCATCTTTGCAGAAATTCTGTAAGGCACTAGAAAGTGAGACAGGTATTTTCCAGTTTGGGAACCTGGAACAAGGCATTCCACTTCTCTGAGCCTCAGGTTCCCAATCTATTAAGTGGAAGATAATAATACCTACCTTGGGTGTTATGTGAGAGCTACAAAAGACATATTTTAAGTGACTTCATGCACAATAGGTCCTTCAGGGTTCCAGGTATTAGGACATGGACATGTTTGGGGGACCATTATTCAGCCTACCACAATGGTTTTAAATACTATTCTTATGCCCCTCAACTCCAAACTCATATATCTAATGCCACTCCACTTTGTCAATTAACCATTTAATAGGTGTTTCAAGCATTCCCAAACACTATCTCCAAATCTACCACACCATTCACCCAATGGTTAAAAACTGAGTTCCTAAGAGTCATCCTTGATTCTTCTCTTTTCCTCACAACTCCTTTCCAAACCATAAACTCATCAGCTCCGCCTCCAGAGTAGGTCTTGAATTTTCCCACTAATATCACCTCTACCCCAGTCCGAGTCACCATATGCTCTGGCCTCTACTATCACAGTAACCTACCTGCTTTCCTTGCTTCCTCTCTTGAACCCTTCCCTCACCCACCCCAAACTCTTTTTATCTATTTACTCTATTTTTATCACAGTGACCAGAGGATTGTGTTTTAAAACATAAGCCAGATCACATTACTCCTCTGCTTCAAGTCTGTCAGTGGCTTACCATTGCATTTGGGATAATGCTTCTCCAACCTCACCTCTCCTCCTGTTCGATACTCTCTAAGCCCTGGCTTAGAAAATCCCAGAAACACCAACCTTCTTCCTGATGGTGGCCTTTGCAGTGGGATACTTGCTTCTCACCACTGAGGCTTCAGTCTAAAGAGTCTTACCCTCCCACCTCTAACATACCCCACCTCCTTATAACACTCACTGTCATATCATGCTGTTTTGTTTTCCAGTCCTCACTTCTGCCCCAAATAATCTTTGTTTCTTATTTATTTCTTACTTCTCCATCTTCTAGAAGAGAAGCACCAGGAGAGAAAGGACCTTACCTGCCTGTTCATCGTTGTATTCCCAGCCCCTAGAATCATAGCTGGCCCATTAGGAGGAATGCTGTAAGTATTTGTCAAATGAATGAGTAGAAAGAAAGACAGGCAAGTCTGAATTTAACTCTTTTCCATTAGAGTGTAATGGAAAGACTGGAATCTGGACCTTACCCTAATTCCTGGGATGGGATGATCCTTGGGAGAATACACAAAACAGGCAGGTGGTAATACCAATATGGTAAAGCCAACAGGTGAGTAATTGGTATCCAAGAGAAAGGCTTAGTATGCAATTTCTCCTTCTCTTCCTGGTAGCAGGTACAAGGGTCTCCTCAGCAGCAAGGTTCTGTGGCACTGAAGCCCGGCTGCCCATCAGAATGCCTCAGGAGCTTTTTGAAAATGCAGAGCCCTGGACCCTATCCCTGAACAACTGGATTTGGTTTTCTAGGAGCTTGGTCTGAGAATATGAATTTTTATAAAGTTTCAGGTGATTCTAAAGCAGGTGATCCTTGTTTCTAGTCTAGTCTGGGAAGCCCAGATCTAGGAATCCAACGGAAGGGTGCAGGAAAAGTGAGGAGTGGTACAGAGGGCTGGGCCTCCAACTATGGGGCACGTCTCCCCCTCCCTTTTCTTCCCCAGCATGGGAGACTAGCCAGGCTGCTTGTTCTTCCACTGGTAACATCTGTTGTTTCTGATCAGACTAATGCCTTTTTGTATGTGTGGTCCATTGAGTAACAGAACACTCACTGCCTGTGACTTTTTGCCCTACTCACCTGTGCCAGAATCAAGCACGAGGCTTTCCCCTTAATCTTCCTCTCACTCCTCTCTAGTCTGGGCAGGCTTGAGCTAACAGTAGGTTTTCATGTATACAAAGGTATTAAGTAAGGTTCATCTAGGTCTCTATATCTGTATCTACATATTTTTTAAATAGACTTTTTTTTTTTTAAGAGCAGTCTTAGGTTCACAGTAAAATTGACTGGAAAGTACAGAGAGTTCCTATATACCCCCTGCCCCCACACATGGATAGTTCTCCCCATGATCCACATCTCCCACCAGACTGGTACATTTGTAACAATCAGTGAACCTGCACTGATACATCTTTACCACCCGAAGTCCATTGTTTTCCCTAGGATTCACTCTTTGAGTTGTGAGTTCTGTGTGTTTAGACAAATGTATAATGACATGTATCCATGATAATAATACCATATAGAATAATTACACTGCCCTAAAAATCCTCTGTGTTCTGCCTATTTGTCCCTCTCTGCCAGGCCCCTGGCAATTACAGATCTTTTTATTGTCCCCATAGTTTTACCTTTTCCAGAATGTCATATAGTTGGGATTACACAGGGTGTAGACTTTTCAGATTGGCTTCTTTCATTTAGTAACATGCTTTTAAGTGTCACCCATGCCCTTTCATGGATTGATAGCTCATTTGTAGTGCTGAGTAATATTCCATTGTCTGTAGGTATCGTTGTTTTGTTTATCCATTCACCTGCTGAAGGCCATCTTGGATATTCCCACTTTTCCGCAATTTTAGATAAAGCTGCTATAAATATCTGTGTTCAGGTTTTTGTGTGGACATAAGTTTCCAATTCCTTTGGGTAAATACCAAAGAGCCCATTTGTTGGATTGTATGGGGAAGAGTATGTTTATTTCTGTAAGAAACTGCCAACCTGTCTTCTAAAGTGGCTGCGCCATTATGAATTCCCACCAGTTAGGTTCATCTATATTTCAGAGGAAATGAATTCTGGAATTTTCTGAAGAGGAACTAGGAAGGCAGGGTAGGATGAAGTAAGAATAGAAACCAGCCTTAGGGAAATGGTGACAAGGTGAAATAGTGGCAGAAAAAAAGAGGAGGAGGAAGGGGGTTTATGTTTCTGTTCCTTCTTTGCTTTGTCTTTATTAATAATATGCATGCCACTGCAGACCCACCCATACCCTAAGCCCTGAATTGAGCTGAAGTGAGAGGCGGGGACTGTGACTGATGATCTTCCCCTAAGCAAACCAAGAGCAGAGGAATCTCAAGTACATTTTGTCAAGAAGAAGTGGGTATACTATTCCTAGAACAAAGTAGCTCTCAAAAAAATGTTTGTTGGATGCAGGCATAAATGAAAACATAAATTCCTCAGTTTACCATTCAAATGTCTTAAATCTATTAGAATCCTTGGTTCAGCTTCAGGAAACTCAGACCTGCTCACAATTCCATAGACACTATCTTCCCTCATTCTTTCTTCTAGAAAATTGGTGCCTGCTGTGTTCCAGGGAATAAGCTAGGTACTAAATATGACTCTTGTGAATTTAAGGACAGAGCTCAATTTGACCCATGTCTTGATTTCATTATTGGAGGGCCACTGGCTCTGAGCACAGTGAACAGGTAGAGGAGTTGGTGTGAGAAGCTTTTGGTTTTAAAGTAAAGGTCAGGACTATGCTCAGGTTCTGCTGATGTAGTTGGTTCCGCTCTGAATCTTTTTCACAAATAATGTTAAATAGAATGTATGAAGGAATTAAATGGGACCTGTGAGGAATGAATGTTACCCATACAAAATAATGAGATGGGAGGAGGGGTGAAATATATTGCCATCTAGGCAAAATGATTAATCCATGTGGAAGGAATCGGTCTCTAACTCCCATACATAACTACAGTTACTTTACTGAGGAATGGACGTTTTGTATTTTGTGGCAACTTTGGGGGGATGCCACATTTTTTTCTACATATGCCTGTTTTGGGTTCCATTTTCCACCTAAAATTATATACACGAGGGAAATAAATGATTCTGTAAACAAAAAATGAGATCATCTGTATCTCAAAGACCTTGATGGAAGAGCATGGTTAATGACCAAAATTCTAATGTTGTCACTGGAGTCCTGGCATAATTGTATCTGACACTCTTTGGCTATCTGATGATACTTTTAAAAGTTTCTCATACACTTCAAGGATCAACACAATGCAGCCATCTTCCAGACTAGCCACCTGTAGTATATGCTTAGGCCTCATTGACATGGTTTTAGGAAAAGCATTTCCCCATCCTCAGAATCTATACCATAAGCCCTTTTTAAGCGGAGACAGCTTTCCTCTTCTGTTGAACTACCCCCTGGTATCAAGCCCAGTGCAAAGCATTAAGAGGGAGCTCAGTAATGACAAGTAAGTAGAAAGATTAATTGAATCTTAATGTCTTTGCAGAACAGCTTCTGGTAAAATGGATCCTAGAAGCATGTTTTTCCTATCAACACAATTTACATGGCAGCTAATACTGGAGGCCAGAGAGATCGGGACAAGGGTTTGTTACCAAAGGTGCCTCCTCTTGAGTAAAATTAGTTGGAATCAGATAAGATACCATGGGGAAAGGGCTTTTGTGCTAACCAAATCAACATTAGCCTTTCTCTTGAACTGCCTTTCTGTTTCAGTGGAAGGGAGAAACCAAAAAAAACCTCAAGCAATAGGGAAAAAGACCGTATTGACAAATAAATAAAATGAGTAAAGAGGGAGGATAGAACAAATTCAAAGTCCTGAAAAGAACCAGAAAGAGGCCAAGATATTAATGATAGCTCTAACAGTATAACCCAAACTTTGATCACTACGTTAAATCCCTTGAAGTGTTCTGTGGGCTTCTCAAACATACATTTTTATTTCCAGGATATGAAATCCTAAAGAATCTATATCCTTTATCGTCTGTTCACAGATTAAGTATTTTCAAAAAGCTGATTCTCTTTTGAGGTTGGTGCAAAACGGAGCTACAAGCTGCACCCCTGAGAGGAATGATGAACACCGTGACAATGTGGTGCCGTCCTGCCACTGGCCTCACTGCCCCCGCCTTGCTCTCTCCAAGCCATCCTTCTCATTGCTGCTAGAGCAATCTTTCTAAAACTCATTTTACTTCCTAGCATAGCCTACACCCTCTAAGAGCTTTCTGTGTCTCTAGAATTGAAACTAGACTCATCGTCTGGCTCATGCCTACCTCTACAATCCATTTCCCACTTTCTACCCCCTCAACCTCACCTCCAGTGACACTGCATCAGGTAAAATGCTTTTAGTTGTGAGTAACATGAAATTCTACTTGATCTTGTAAACCATGAAGGGAATACCAGCTTCCACTTACCTGGTCAGAGGTGGGTCAACTCATTGGCTCCATTTCTGTGGCATCCCCCTCACTCTATGCGACATCCTTATCCGCTGGTTGGCTCTCCTTGAGGTAGCAAAATAGAAACCAGTAGCTCTCAGGTTGACATGCTTTTTCTTCCATGTGAATGCATCTCTTCTCCTAACCATCAAACCAAAAGCCTGGACTTCTTTCTGTTTGGACATATCCAGCCCTGACCTAACATCTCTGAGGAATGCCATGGCTGATTTGCTTAGGCTTGGATGACACACTTCTCTGAGAACCAGCTACAACAAAAGAATGGATTCCACTGACTGCCTAAGGCCGATCAAGATCCATCCTTGGAGCTGGGAATAAGGTCAATTATATTCAACCCGTGGCTGGGAAATGTGGAGGGAAGGAGAGAACGGATGCAGAATAAGCATCTTCAGAATCCAAATTACTTATGACTCTCTAGGCCTTTCATCCCATGGTATAGCTCTCTTTTCTCTTTCTGAGATATTCTTTCCCCATTTGATCTGTCTGGCAAACTCCTACTCTGCTCTCAACTCCAGACCAAGCATTTCACCCTCTGTAAGATCTTTCAGGCTCCCTCTTCCCAAACAGTGGATTAAGTCCTTCTGTGTACCATTCTTATACCCAGTGCAAACTAAATTTATTGCCTTACTCGTTGTTCATGGATTATTTGTTTGATAGATTTATCTCTCCCCAATAGACAGTTAAGTTCTTGAGTACAGAAACCCTCTTTTTTGTAATCCTTACTTTTGACATTTATAAAATGACCAGAGCATATATGAGTACCCTTTAAATAAATTCTGAGTTTTGTTAATTCTACTAGATATTGATCACCACCTGTTGATGACCTACTTATGTGCTCTGTGTGGAGGTGTGACCTCCTCTGATGTCTAACCTCAAGAAAGAGACAGATCCTCAAAAAAAGGAAATGGAGCCAGGAGCAAAAGAAACAGAAGACGAAATGCCTGAGTCACACTCTGGTTCTTGGCCTTCTTGGTTCTGGTTGAGAGGCAATCTAGAGGTCCTTGAGTGTCCAAGTCTTACTAGTTTCCAAAAGCATCCTCCAACTATGAAGGCAGTTCAGGCACCAGACAACAGGCTTTCCTATATGAACCTCAAGCTGGAAACCTGGCCAGCCAGATTACCTACTTCCATGTTATGTTCCATGCTGTGATAATTTTATTATTCCTAACCAAAAAAGGGAAAGCTTGCTCTAAATAGTATTTCCTTTCACCTTACGGCTCCAAAAAAAGAATACCATCTTTTACCTTTCCTCAACTCCTAGTATCTCTAAGGGGTGGAGCAAAGAATTGAACATTTCCAAAAAAGGAAGTGGAATGATCGTCCTTATCAGCAATTGTTTTTAACACACTTACTTTTGGTAGGGCACAAACACGTGTCACTGAGAAACGTAAGAAGGCCTTGCAAAATTTCAGGGAAGCTAATAATGAATTCACAAATGATAAGTGGTCTGCAAATAATAACATTGATTATAGTAATGCAAGTATTCTGGAGGACCCTGGGATTCAAAAATGAAAAGACATTTGCTGTAGTAGATGCCAGTATCTGTCATTAGAGTCATAAAAGCAGCAGAAGAGAGGCTCTATGACCTAAGTGAAGTCACATATAAATGTAACAGCTAGAGACCATGAATAAGTATATGATAGTGTAGTATAAATTATACATCTGTGATAGCACTGCGGCAACATTATTTGACTGATTACTGAGGGAGTGATCAGTATGGAATGATATTAGTCAGGACAGGCTCTTGAAGGGGTGAGTCACAGGTTTTCGAGCAAGAGGCTGACATGATGTAGTTGGCACTCAAAAAATATTGTCTTAGCAACTCTGTAGAGAATGAACTGAGATGGGAAAGCACAAATCAGGGAGACCAGGTAGGAGGCGGTAATGCAAACGAGGTGATGGGCGCCTGGACTGCTGTGTGGGCTGTGAAATAGAGTTGGAATGGCTTAGAGAAGGCGATGCAGTAGGTTGCATAATAGCGTGGGCCTTGCAGACAAAACTGATTTGGGCACCGATCCTGGCTCCACTGACTGGCTGTGTTACTTGGGTAACTAACCTACCTGCTCTGGGTCTGTTCCTTTATCTGGAAAATGCACTTGCGGGTGCTTGTTGTTTTTGCTGTCCAGTATTTGAACGTCCTTCCTAAGCAAATCTGAGTGAATCCCAATGTAGGGGGAAGACACGCAGGGGAACCTGCTTCTCCCACCAGGCCCTTGCATCTAGGGCATCGATCGGCACGTGCTCTGAGTAGGACCAGTTGGTGCCCACCCGCCTGTCTGTCTGTACTGCGGAATAGTGATGCAAAGACACTGCAGTCGGTGTGAGAATCTTTGAGCTCTCCCTGCTGAGATTAGAATCCAGAAGTGTGGTACCTGGCTGGCTCAGTCATTAGAGCATGTGACTTTTTTTTTTAATTTTTTTTTAATGTTTATTTATTTTTGAGAGAGAGAGAGACAGAGCATGAGCAGGGAAGGGGCAGAGAGAGAGGGAGACACAGAATCGGAAGCAGGCTCCAGGCTTCGAGCTGTCAGCACAGAGCCCGACACGGGGCTCAAACTCATGAGCCATGAGATCACGACCTGAGCCGAAGTTAGACGCTCAACCAACTGAGCCACCCAGGCGCCCCTAAAGCATGTGACTCTTGATCTCAGGGTTGTGAGTTCAAGCCTCACCAGTGGGCACGGAGCTTACTTTAAGAAAAGAAGAAGAATCCAGAGACATGGTGGAACACGTCCTCAGAGATTGTTACTGAGGTAGGATCTCAGTTTCGTGCTCTGCTTCTTCCCTTGGCTCTGCCCTGAACCCAGTCCTCTACCTTCCTATGGGCTGTGTGAGTTGCCCAACACCTTTCCAGTTAATTCCTCTTCTGTTTAAGTTACCTGCCATTTGCTCTCAAGAACCCCGACTAGAACATGACCTCATAGGACTATTTTGAGGATTGAATAAGACGATGTATATAAGGCCTTTAGCCCAGTACTTGTCATGGGCAAACACTTACTGAATCATTGATCTGAGAAACAACAAAGAAAATGACAGAATAGTGACAGACTTGGATACTTGGTTAGTTGTGGGAGAAGAATAAAAAGGAAGAATGGGGAAGGTAACACTAAGTTTACAAACCTGTCTTCCACGTTCTTATTCTACCTCGAACAAGAATCTAGAAGCCAACAGAAGGATGGCTAGGCGTTAATGGCGAAATACTGACCTCTCAGCATGTCGACTGAGAACAAGGTAGTTTACTCACATGACAAAGTCTAAACTTGTCAGCCTGGCCCGTAAGGCACTTCATAACCCTGTTCAAACCTGCCTTTCCAGCCCTGAAGCTTGCCACTCCCCAAGAAGCATCTGACGCCATACTCAAATCACGCTGCTTGGTGTCCCAAGAACACATCGTGTTATTCTGAGCTCTGCTGCCTCTCACACTCTACTCTCTTTGCCTGAAATGTCCTTCTCATCCTCCTTCAACTTCAACTCATTTAGGACTTGGGTTGCATCTCTTACCCTCAGTGAAGCCCTTCCCTAATTCCTTCCAGGCAATGTTACGTTTTATTCTGAAGTGCTCTTTTTTAAAAAAACGAAATTCTTTTCCATCATTTTTTTTTTAATTTTTTTTTTTCAACGTTTATTTATTTTTGGGACAGAGAGAGACAGAGCATGATCAGGGGAGGGGCAGAGAGAGAGGGAGACACAGAATGGGAAACAGGCTCCAGGCTCTGAGCCATCAGCCCAGAGCCCGACGCGGGGCTCGAACTCACGGACTGCGAGATCGTGACCTGGCTGAAGTCGGACGCTTAACCGACCGCGCCACCCAGGCGCCCCTTTTCCATCATTTTTTAAGTTCATTTATCTTCGAAAGAGAGAGGGAGAGCACGCGAGCAGGGGAGGGGCAGAGAGAGAGAGAGGAGACAGAGAATCCCGAGCAGGCTCCCACGCTGTCAGTACAGAGCCAGATGCAGGGCTTGAGCCCACAAACCACGTGATCATGACCCAAGCCGAAACCAAGAGTAGGATGCTTAACTGACTGAGCCACCCAGATGCCCCTAAAGTGCACTTTGTGTCTCTCGCCTTCACTCCCTTGGGTGGCCCCAGACCCCACGGACTGTGGTTTGGCCCTCCTTGTATCGCCATTGCCTGACATTGTCTGGATGCAGCCAGTACTTCACAGGCTCATTGTTGAACAGCCAGAACGTTCCTTTATAATTTGGTTAGAGATAAAAGGGTATGTGTCTAAGACAACGCGATTCGACAATCCACAGACAAAAGTCAGTTTTGTTCATTATGTGTTTATGTATTAAGTAACAAATACAAGTCCTTTTAACTTCCCAGGTCCTGAAGGGCAGAGTTCTGTGTTAACTCACTTTGTACCCATTGGGTTTTACCCTAACCAGCAGGACAAAGGACTTGGAATCCTTTTTAGGTGTTGCTTTGATGTAACCAAAGCAGTGTTACTCGTATGCTGAAGAACCTGTGGTTGGAGACCCTGAGTGTAAGAGGCCAGCCCAGCAACCTCGGTCAGGTTTTTCTGTACTTTGAAGCCCTGATACCTGTGACTTACCCAACTCATCTTTCCTGAATAGGAACGCTAATGAAAATGATTATTTCCATTTGCAGTTCCCCAAGTTAGCTTAAGCACAGGTTTCCAGAGATACATAGCCATGAGGCCAAAATTTAGTTTTATCTTCCATTGCCCTCAGAAATTATTCTTCTTTATCTCCTAAAGACATTTTAAGAGATTTCACTTTTTTTTTTTAATGTTTATTTATTTTTGAGAGAGAGAGCGTGCACAAGCAGGGGAGGGACAGAGAAAGGGGGAGACACAGAATCTGAAGCAGGCTCCAAGCTCCGAGCTGTCAGCACAGAGGCCCATTGCGGGGTTCGAACTCACGAACTGTGAGATCATGACCTGAGCCGAAGTCGGATGCTTAACCGACTGAGCCACCCAGATGCCCCAAGTGATTTCACTTTTAATTTAATTTTTAAATAAATAATAATTCTGTGGTTCAAAATTCAAAAGTATACAGTGCAAAGTGTGTCCCATCACCTTGCACCCTGGCCATCTGGCTCCTCTCCCTGTGGGCAACCACAATTATTGCTTTCTCATGCTTTCTTCCCAAGATATTTTATGCACAGAAGGAAATATTTTTCAATTTCCTACTATGTGTTACAGAAAAGTTAAATTAGCACACAGTGTTCTGCATCTTACCTTTTAGTCACTAAATGATATATCTTACAGGTCTTCTCATATCAGTACATATCAGTGCCTACATTTTTTCCTGGCCTTTAGGGTTTCTCCCCCAATCCTTTCTATTTTATGAACAATTCAGCAGCTCTTTTAAACCTCCTTTCAAGGAGCGCCTGGGGGGCTCAGTCGGTTAAGCATCCTACTCTTGGTTTCGGCATAGGTTGTGATTTCACAACTCATGATTTCGAGCCCCATGTCAGGCTCTGCGCTGTCAGCCCAGAACCTGCTTGAGATTTCTTTCTTTCCTTCTCTCTCTCTCAATAAATAAATAAACACAAAAAATTTTAAATAAATAAATAAATTTCCTTTCAAACTTCCTAACCAGTCTCTGCCTTCTTTATTCTCAAAAAATGCTGTCTCTCTTAACTCACAGAGGAAACAGAAACCATTAGATAAAGATGCTCTCAATTTCCTGCCACCTGTCTACCTTGTACTTCAGACTCCTTTGGTTCCAAATAGCACATGGTTCTCAGGATATGCACGTGCTCTGGTCTCTGCCTCTTTCCGTATGCCATTCCCATTCTTACCATCCTTGATTTGCCCGGGGAGCTTCTGTTAACCTTTGAAATCTGAGTTTGGAAATCATGCCAGAGGGAGTTAATCCACTGATGAGGTGTGGTTCATCTCTACCTTGTTCCTCTTCCACTGTTGTGATTATGCTGGTTTGAGATTTGTTTACAAGTCTATGCTCCCATAGGTCCATGAGCACCTTGAGAACTAATTCATTTCAGGATGCCCAGCACTTAGCACAGAGAGTCTGGTAACAGAAGCTACTCAATAAATATTTGTTAAATAAATGAATAAATAATGTGGAAGCGATCTAAGCCACTCTGTTATGGCAAGTATTTGCAAGACAGTAGAATGAATCTTCAACTTTGCACAGTGTAGCAGTAACAGTGTTGGGCCTGAAATAATCATGAGAACCCATGCTGGTCCACAGAAGCAGGAGACTTTTCTCACGTGTTCATTGCTCTGTCCTCAATGTCTAGAAGAGTGCCTGGCTCTTGAGCGCTAAGAATGAGGCTTTGTGTTATATTTGTATCCTAATCTACTGAAGACACCCTTTATTTCAAATACTCTGCAAGGAGAAAGCTAGAACATATCCAGTACCCAGGCACGGGTAAGTTACCAGAAAGCCAGTGAATTAGTTTAAGTTGGACATAGTCAACCAATTGACTTTTACAAACGTATCGTATAGATTAAATGAACACATTTCCCATAGCCTCAGGTTTTTCCAAGTTTAGTGGTAATCACATGCTTCATCTGGGAACTAAAACAAAAACCTCACAGATACTCTTGAGGAGGCAGGGCTCTCGGCTCGTCTTGTATAAACACCAAAGAGCAGTAACGTGACAATCAGGCACAGGGGCTCTTTGATATAAACTGTGGATACAAAGTGAAGTAAGACCTTTACCCTGCCTGGCCTGTCTCCTAAGAGGGCTCTTTCTTCACTGTAGTCCTTTGGTTGCCAGAATGCAGATACTTTCCTGCCCTTTCTTCCTTGTCTTACTGAACAGTAGTAACATGCAGTAATATACATAGTTATAACATACAGTAATGTCAATTCTCTGTCAGTTTGTGAAAATAAGATTTCTTTCATTCTGATGCTTCTTTTTTTTAATGTCTATTTATTCTGAGAGAGAGAGAGAGAGAGAGAGAGAAGGGCAGAGAGAGAGGGAGAGAAAAATATCCCAAGCAGACTCCACTCTGTCAGTGCATAGCCCGATGTAGGGCTCGAACTCATGAAACCGTGAGATCGTGACCTGAGCTGAAATCAAGAGTTGTACGCTCAACTGACTGAGCCACCCAGGCACCCCTCATCCTGATGCTTCTGATCAAACACCATGGTGACCCACAGATTGCTTTTAGACCAAGACTGAATCAAAATTTCATGTTTATAATTTTTATTTCCACTGTGTTCAATAAATATTTGTGGACTGACTGAATGAATATTTTGCCATTAATTAGCTCTGTAACCTTGGGCAAATTTTATTTACATTTTCTAGGCTTCATTATCCTCATGTATGCAATAAAGTTTGATTGTCATATTTCTCAAACTGTTTTTAATAGTTAAAACCCATTCTTCAAACAAAGTCTTAGAACCCAATATGTAACAGAAAAAAGTGGGGCTACTCCAAATAAAATAGGTTCGGAGACCTTTAGACCCCTTGCTTCACCTTGTCCTTCTCCACCCTTGTTTCTTTTCTGAGCCACTCTGCTGAGCCCCAGGGCTCTGTGAGGTACCATCTAAAAACATCTCTGCACGTGGGGCACCTGGGGGGTTCCGTTGGTTAAGCATCTGACTTCGACTCAGGTCATGATCTCATGGTCTGTGAGTTCGAGCCCCGCATCGGGCTCTGTGCTGACAGCTCAGAGCCTGGAGCCTGTTTCAGATTCTGTGTCTCCCTCTCTCTCTGGCCCTCCCCCATTCATGCTCTGTCTCTCTCTGTCTCAAAAATAAATAAACGTTTAAAAAAAAAAATCTCTGCAATCAATGATCATATATTTAACATTGACCCCTGACTTGTAAGGAAACTTATTGTCATTAGGGACCAGAGATTCCCAACCTGCAGCCTCTTAATTCTTAGGGATTAAACAAGGTAAAGCCATTGAGGCAAATTAAAATATAAAGTTTTTTGCTTTGGAAAGTATTATATCAACTCAACTAATGTCAGTTGATTACTTAATGCCAAGCAGAATTGAAAACTCTATATATCCTTGATAAGTTAACAATGAATATGAACATGTTAACAATGAACTACGAACATGGCAACATAATTATATTGCTAACATAATTTTTAGTAGACAAAATTTCTCAATACATTATGAAAATGAGGGGGTGGGGCTAATGAAAAGAATCCCTAGGGAGTGAAAAGGATGACAATAATGATGATGAATTAATTCCATTTTCTTCCTTCTTGTACAAGTAAAATGAGGCAGGGAAGGGTGGAGTGGCTTGCTGAGGACCTGACAGCTTTGCAGCAGAATCTGCAGCAAAACGCAGCGCTTGTAACATCCAGCCCAGTCCTCTTTCCCAGCCATGTTGCGTTTCTCTATGAGTTTAGGCTTTACGTGTCTGGGACCACAGTCACACAGCTACAGAAGGATAGAGCATCCTCATTATCTCAGTATTCATGATCTGAATTCCTGAGGTTTGAGGTTGAGTAGGAGAGTAAGAGTCATCATAACCTAGAAATGTTTACTTATCAAATGACAGCTTATGAAACCCACTCAAATATCCAGCTCCATTAAACATGAGCATTGATTCTCCCCTTCGGGATCAGCTCCTTTGTCAGGTCTCCAGCTGATGACTGCATTTTTATACATATTTGACAATATAGTACAAATATA